CAGCATTAAGTTAATGACTCTCTCTTCCTTAAGTGGACAACGGGATTGGACAGGATTAAAAAGTGAACATTGATTCATGCTCTCATTGCTCCTCTAAATCTGTTAGGCAACATTGTCACTATGAGACTACTAGACGGTGAGTTGTAATGTAGAATGTTACAAATAATATATTGGTGACCATTTACATTAAACTCTTCCAATGTTCTTTCAACCCTATGTTCCATCAGCCCCATGTTCCCTCAGTTCCCACAGCCCTATGTTCCCTCAGCCCTACTGTATATTCCCTCAGTTCCCACAGCCCTATGTTCCCTCAGCCCTACTGTATATTCCCTCAGTTCCATCAGCCCTATGTTCCCTCAGCCTTATGTACCCTCAGCCCCATGTTCCCTCAGTCCCATGTTCCCTCAGCCCTATGTTCCCTCAGCCCTATGTTACCTCAACCCTATGTTCCCTCAACCCTATGTTCCCTCAGTACCCACTGAACCATTTTTTTATGGCACAAATGCTTATTGTTATAAAATAGAAAATGCAGATTATTTCAGCATCTATGAAGAGTCTTGGTGGTTCCAATCTTCTTACATTTAAGAATGATGGAGGCCACTGTGTCCTTGGGGACCTTCAATGTTGCAGAATTTTTTTGGTGCCCTTCTCCAGATCTGTTCCTCGACACAGATCCTGTCTCGGAGCTCTACGGACAATTCCTTCGACTTCATGGCTTGGTTTTTGCTCTGACGTGCACTGTCAACTGTTTAACATTTCTAAAAAACCTGTTTTCGCTTTGTTATTATGGGGTATTGTGTGTAGATTGATGAGAATTTTAGATAAAGGCTGTAACATAACAAAATGTGGAAAAGGGGAAGTGGTCTGAATTCTTTCCGAATGCACTGTATGTGAATATGTAAGGGTATGGGACTTACTGAATATGTCCAATCAAGCCCTATGTTCCCTCAGTTCTAACTTCTAAACCAGGGCAACTCAATTGAGGGAACGAGACATTTTTCAACTTCCGGTCAAATGTCACCAATTATTAAATATTTCAGGGGGTCCTAGGCCATATCATTGTATATATTAGATCCAATCATTATAAAAGTACATTTTTATCTCAGAAAATGCAATTTGGGCTGCTATAATATTGACAAAGGTTCAAGGTCATAGTGGTTGGACATATTCAGTAAGTCCCATACCCTTACATATTCACATAGATGCTGAAATAATCAGTATTTTCTATCTTATAACAATAAGCATTTGTGCCAATTTTAATTACAATTGGTTCAGTGGGTACTGAGGGAACATAGGGCTTAGAGAACATAGAATTGAGGGAACATATGGTTGAGGGAGCATAGGGCTGTTGGAACATAGGGCTGAGGGAACATAGGGCTGAGGGAACATAGGGCTGTTGGAACATAGGCCTGAGGGAACATAGGGCTGTTGGAACATAGGGCTGAGGGAACATAGGGCTGAGGGAACATAGGGCTGTTGGAACATAGGGCTGAGGGAACATGAATACCTGTGTAGTAATAGTAGTTTAGCAAGGGCAACAGCATAGGCAGAAGGTAGCCTAGCGGTTAGAGCGTTGGGCCAGTAACCGAAAGGTCGCTAGTTCAAATACCTGTTAAAAAATCTGTCTATGTGCCCTTGAGCATGGCACTTAACTCTAATTGCTCCAGGGTCGCAGTTGATAATGGCTGACCCTGGCTGTGTCCCCACTCTCTGAGAGTGTCTCAGGGGGAGTTGAGATATGCAAAAAAATAAATGTACTATTCACACATGCGTATATACACACTTGTACATGTGTAAAATAGGACAAATATAAGCACCTACCTAATTTATCATTATTGCACTCTGGAGAACTGTTATGAAAACAACCAAAACCTAATTAAGTGTGGGTTATATCCATGCTTAATGGATTAGGCAGCTCTATTTAGAGTGTCTTAATCTGGATGATATTGTCAATCTAGTCACGTACGTGTGTCTGAACTGAAGTTGTCTTTGTATGGCACTGGACCTGTAGTACTTACTGACTGAAACAGTCCAAGTCTCTGAGGACCCACTGACTGCACAGCTCAAAGCTCTGCTCTGAAAACCGATAGCCACCCAGCTAGCACATAACGTTTTGAGAACCATTTCTTAGAGCTTGGTGAGAGCATGTTTGTCCTATGGTTATTTTGCATACAACCTTCCCACAACTTTCTGGGAATGGTGCAGTATAGTTGCTTGGCTTTGGAACATTCTCAGCACATTAACACATTTTACAAAAACATTTTATTTCTTGGTATTTCATTACTTTAACAGAACGTTTCCTAAAAGTTCATTTCAATTTTGGTAATGTTCTAGGAACTTTGTCCGACTGGTTTGACATTGGGAATGTTCTCAAATAGTTCAGAACATTAAGAAACAACGTTCTGTGGGAATTTCAGTACTTCAGCATAAGTTTCCGACAGGTTTGCTCATGGTTCTATTTAAAGACATGTTCTCAAATTGTTCCGAGAACATTAAGAAAACGTTCCATAAAAACCACAAGAAAACTTTAGTAACATTCAGAGAACGTTTTAAATGTTTTATTTTAGCCTCCAGAGTGGTCATGTTTCAGAGGATGCATGGCTCTCGACCTTCGCCTCTCCCGAGTCCGTATGGGAGTTGCAGCGATGGGACAAGACTGTAACTTCCAATTAGGGAGAAAAAGGGGTAAAAATAACATTCTTTTAAAACATACATTCCGTTCTCAGAACGTGAAGAAAACGTTCCATAAAAACCACAAGAAAACCTTAGTAACATTCAGAGAATGTTCTAATAATGTTATTTAAAAACATATACATTGCATTCTCAACATCAACAAAACTCTCTCTATCGTCTATCTTGTCAAGTGTGTACAGGTGTGTTGGCCGCGCCCAGTAATTGGCCACACCTGATCTTAATGAGTGCTTGTTTCCTTTGAAATGGGGTTGGTTTGAATAGACTAAAATGAACAGCTTTTTATGCATTAAATAAATGGCATGCTATTTCCATCCTGGTGACGCACTGGACTAATTCCATGGATAGAGAACAAAATATTATAGGTTTGAATCTCACTGATGTCGTGTCACAATAAAAAAATTAATGTGTTTGCATGATTAATGCCTAAGGAAATTAATTTCCATGTGTCCTATCTGTGCTTGAAGTTCAAAAAAGTTAACACCAAATAAGCTAGCAGTGTTATTATGAAAGTTTTAAGGAAGTTATTCAAAAACCTATAATTGTCATTCTCAGAGCGTTTTCCTCCCAGGAAAACTTTCAAGGATCCAGAGTAAAACTTTATCAGAACCTCCCTGCAACCTAAAAATAAATGTTCCCAGAACAGGCGAAATGTTCACTTCAAATCAAATTGTATTCGTCAAATGCGTTGTGAACAACAGGTGTAGACTAACAGTGAAATGCTTACTTACGGGCCCTTTCCAACAATGCAGAGAGAAAGAAAATAGAGAAATAATAAAACGGAAAACACGTAATAATAAAAGTAATAATAAATATACAATGAGTAAAGATAACTTGGCTATATACGGGGTACCAGTACTGAGTCGATGTGCAGAGGTACGAGGTAATTGAGTTAGATATGTACATATAACTAGGAATAAAGTGACAGATAATAAACAGTAGCAGCAGAATATGTGATGAGTAAAAAAAAGTTAGTGTAAAAAGGGTCAATGCAGATAGTCCGGGTAGCTATTTGGTTATCTGTTTAACTATTTAGCAGTTTTATGGCTAGGGAGTAGAATAACGCTCTCAAAAAGTTTTTTCCCCAAAAATGTTTTTACTAAATATTTAGCAGTCTTATGTCTTGGGGGTAGAAGAACGTTCCCAGAACGTTTGTTCTCAGAACGTAAACCCAAAAATTATACGTTCCCAGAACGTTTTAAAAAACATACGTTCCCACAACTTCCAATGAACCAAATGTGCTAGCTGGGTAGTTAGGCACAGAAAAAAAGAAAGAAAATAATCCAGTCCACCTCTAAGAATTGACATGCTGTCAATAGTTTTTTCTTCTTTCTTTATTTCTGTATTTGTCTGTTATTTTTTGCCCTCCCACTTCATGAAAAGAAAAGGCAAAGCAATAATTTTTCGGGGGCTTAGTGTAGATAGACAGTGTGGGTTTCATGTTTGTACGTCTCTTTTGTCTGAGCCTGGTGAAGGCTGAATGTGGCTGGAGTTACAGGTGTGAACGCCCGCGCCATCACAGAACCGAGTCCCCCACCCTCTTCGCCTCACCAGCTTCTCTGACATTCTGAGGCTGCCACGTCACGCCCGATTTTAATCAGAACAGAGCCCACCACAACAATGAGTCCTAAAAGCCTTGGCAGCCAGCAGTGTGTGCCAGGTCTTGCCTGCTGTATAAAAGAAGAGGAGAAGAAAACACTTAGATTCTCTGAATAACGACTCTTCATAAAGATAATATTGTTAGGGATTAGTCAGATATTTAAGCTGTCTTGTGAAGTAGTACATAAGAGGTATTTCACTCCATTGAGCCGTGGGAAAATCGTATGAAGCCCAGTTCATCAGGTTCAGAGAGCACAAACAGACAGTGGTGTTGTTCATTGTCTCCTTTCTGCTGAAAATCTTTGCTGTCCTCTTAAATAACATCTGGTAGCTGTCATCATCATTATCAGAGTTGTTATTATCAGAGATTATTTTTCTGTTAACTCAACGAAGGGTTTCTCATGCTCTCTCTCTCTCTCTCTCTCTCTCTCTCTCTCTCTCTCTCTCTCTCTCTCTCTCTCTCTCTCTCTCTCTCTCTCTCTCTCTCTCTCTCTCTCTCCCTTCCCCTACTTCTTCTCTCGCCATCTCCTCCCTCTCTCTCCCTCTTTTTCTCTTTCTCACTTTCTCACGTCTTCCCTCTCTCTTTCTCTTCCCTTCTCTTCCTCTTCCTCTCTCTCCTCTCTCTTTCTCCAGGTGTTCTGAAGGACTACCTGCGTGAGTTGCCCTACCCCCTCATCACTAAGCACCTGTACGAGGCTGTGTTAGACTCCATGGCTAAGAGGCCTCTGCGTATTGGAGCAGGAGGATGTGAGAACGACCCGGCAGACACAGAACACACCGTCAGTCTCCTGGAGAACCTGCCAGAGGTGGAGAGGGTAAGGGACAGTTCCTCTTCAATCGATCAATCAAGTTGATTCATAAATCCCTTTTTACATCAGCATTTGTCACAAAGTGCTTTTGCAGATGCCTCTTTGGGTTCACAGTGCTCTTGGTTCTCTACATTCACCAAGTTCCTTCAGTAATGTTCATTAGTACTGTGCAGCATTCACAGTACAGTTTCAAACCCTCTTGATGTTAGGAAATAACAGTAGCTGTGGGAAATAACAAAATCCGCCCTTACACAGCATGCTCTCTGTCTCTGTGACCCCAGTTGACCCTGCGGAGGCTGCTGGACCATCTGAAGTTGGTGGCGTCACACCACGAGGTCAACAAGATGACGTGTCAGAACCTGGCGGTGTGCTTCGGCCCCGTGCTGCTCAGCCAACGCCAGGAGGCCAGCTGTCATAGCAACCGGGTCTTCATCGACTCGGAGGAGCTGGCCAGCGCCCTGCACTTCAAGAAGCATATCGAAGTGCTGCACTACCTGCTGCAGCTATGGCCAGGTAACCTCCACCATAGAGATACACTACAATACTAGAGTGGCCTATGACATTAACCTTCATAACTCTAGAATGTGGTGATAATGGCAGCCATCTTGGTCAGAGATACATTCTAAACCAGTGTAGTACCATGCAGTACCTCTGGATCTAGAGGCCTTTTATATTTACTAAATTACTATCTTAATTACTGGCTCATTACTCCTGCAGTGAATGTATCAGGCTTTTAGTTCAGGCCATTGAGTAGTGTGTTTACAGTACATGGGCATTCTTAATTACTGAACCAACAACTTAATAAACAAGTAATAACAAACTTAAGTGCTCACCCAAAATCAGACAAGCCATTTCTTAGAAGGGCAAATTGTTCCCAGCGCTGTGCTGTAGTTCTGTTCCAAACATTACTTTAAAAGGCTGGGTTGGCGCTTTGGTCTCTGGTGGTTTGGCTTGGCTGGCTGGCTGGCTGGCGCGCACACACACACACACACACACACACACACACACACACACACACACACACACACACACACACATACACACTCATACACACACATACGGCTGGCGCGCACACACACGCACACACACACACACACACATATACATACACACACTCATACACACACACACACAAACACACACACACACACACAGCAGATAGCCATTCGTCACATCTCTTCAGTCATCATAGATGAAATGCACCACAAAGTGCTTCATCATGACAGGAGGGCCAAAGCCTTACTGTAAACCAATCTCAGTGGGCAGGGATGCTTTTATATAAAACACCGTCCAGAGAAAGTATGCGTCTAAAATGGCACACTATTCCTTATATAGTGCACTACTTTTGTTCAGAGCCCTATGGGACCTGGTCAAAAGAAGTGCACTGTAAAAGGGAATAGGATGCCATTTGGGATGCTGCCGAAGACATCCTGGACCAACTGTTGGTAATTTGTCTCCCTGTCCAACTGTTCTGCTCTCAGCAGCTGTCTTCTCTCAGCAGCTGTCTTCTTTGTGTGCACGGTGATATGAGAGACAGATATGCACTGTTGAGTATAGCTGGGATAGAGGGATATGAAAGAGAGATGCGTATGAGTGTAGGGTTGCTAGGGGGTTTGGATGTCAAATCCTGTGCAGATGGATGTGCTGCCTCTAAGGAGGATGGGGAAGACTATACAGTAACTGTCTGATCCCCTCAGATCACGAACATTCTCTCTAACCAACTCCATTTAACTTCATAGTGTTGTATATACAGTGCCTTCAGAAAGTATTTACACCCCTTGACTTTTTTTGTCACTGACTTACACACAATACCCCATCATGTTAAAGTGAAATTATATTTTTCAAAATTTTTACCAATTAATAAAAAATGAAAAGCTGAAATGTCTTGAGTCAATAAGTATTCAACCCCTTTGTTATGGCAAGCCTAAAAAAAATGTGCTTAACAAGTCACAGACTCACTCTGTGTGCAATAATAGTGTTTAACCTCTACTGGATGGGTGTCCCGAAATCGGGACAGTTGTTGCTCAATACGGATAATGTGACTACAATGACGTTGTAAACAAAAGCACATTTTCAGGGACATATACATGTCTTATATGGGCAGAAATCTTTAATTATTGTTAATCTAACTGCAGTGTCCAATTTACAGTATCTATTACAGCAACAAAAAAAAACATGCTATTGTTTGAGAATAGTGCACAACAACAAAACACTTTTATCACGACAACTGGTTTGGTACATTCACCTCTGAAGGTAAAAAAATGTACTTACATTCAGTAATCTTGCTCTGATTTGTCATCCTGAGGGTCCCAGAGATAAAATATAGCGTAGTTTTGTTTGATAAAATCCATTTTTATATCCTAACAACATCCATGTTGTATGCACGATCGATGTTGTATTCCCACTCGTTCAACTTGCAAAGAAAGACATCTGTGAATATCGAAAACTAAACCTTGTTTCAGCTAGTCAACTTAGATTCCTATTTATTCCTCAGACACTCCAGAAGGTAACCAGCCTTTCCTTCATCATTCTGCATTAGGTATATCCGATACAGAAACAATTTTAGCCACAAAGAAACGACATCATTATGCGCCGATGAGACAGGCGGTGTTCACTTGATTGACTGTATCTTGGTCCAATGACCACCTATTGTTTTGAAACATAGCTAGCTAGATAGCCAATGATCTGGGCTTTACAGGAGTATGAAATGGTCCTTTGTCTGACTGAGGAAAAGCCTGTGTATTCAGCATGCGCGCAACACGGTTTAGTGTCCATTGGGAATCTAAAGGAAGTGGCGCATCGCGTTACGCACAGCTCGATTTAGTAAAAGTTTTCTGCAAGTACAATATGGCTACTAGTACTGGAAAAGCTAAATCAAAGTCCAGGTATACAGATTTGGACGGGATTATAGCAGAAATCGACCGGGAAAGTGTCACAGAACCAGTAGATGAGGACTTTGTTTTTTTAATGGTTGCATATTATTCATTTGAGTGATTTAAAAAAAAAAAATCTTTGAAAAAACTTACATATATACATATATATATATATATATATATATATATATATATATATATATATATATATATATATATACAGTATCTCACAAAAGTGAGTACACCCCTCACATTTTTGTAAATATTTGAGTATATCTTTTCATGTGACAACACTGAAGAAATGACACTTTGCTACAATGTAAAGTAGTGAGTGTACAGCTTGTATAACAGTGTACATTTGCTATCCCCTCAAAATAACACAACACACAGCCATTCATGTCTAAACCGCTGGCAACAAAAGTGAGTACACCCCTAAGTGAAAATGTCCAAATTGGGCCCAAAGTGTCAATATTTTGTGTGGCCACCATCATTTTCCAGCACTGCCTTAACCCTCTTGGGCAAGGAGTTCACCAGAGCTTCACAGGTTGCAACTGGAGTCCTCTTCCATTCCTCCATGACGACATCATGGAGCTGGTGGATGTTAGAGACCTTGCACTCCTCCACCTTCCGTTTGAGGATGCCCCACAGATGCTCAATAGGGTTTAGGTCTGGAGACATGCTTGGCCAGTCCATCACCTTTACCCTCAGCTTCTTTAGCAAGGCAGTGGTCGTCTTGGAGGTGTGTTTGGGGTCGTTATCATGTTGGAATACTGCCCTGCGGCCCAGTCTCCGAAGGGAGGGGATCATGCTATGCATCAGTATGTCACAGTACATGTTGGCATTCATGCTTCCCTCAATGAACTGTAGCTCCCCAGTGCCGGCAGCACTCATGCAGCCCCAGACCATGACACTCCCACCACCATGCTTGACTGTAGGCAAGACACACTTGTCTTTGTACTCCTCACCTGGTTGCCGCCACACACGCTTGACACCATCTGAACCAAATAAGTTCCAGTAATCCATGTCCTTAGTCTGCTTGTCTTCAGCAAACGGTTTGCGGGCATTCTTGTGCATCATCTTTAGAAGAGGCTTCCTTCTGGGACGAAAGCCATGCAGACCAATTTGATGCAGTGTGCGGCGTATGGTCTGAGCACTGACAGGCTGACCCCCTACCCCTTCAACCTCTGCAGCAATGCTGGCAGCACTCATATGTCTATTTCCCAAAGACAACCTCTGGATATGACGCTGAGCACGTGCACTCAACTTCTTTGGTCAAGCATGGCGAGGCCTGTTCTGAGTGTAACCTGTCCTGTTAAACCACTGTATGGTCTTGGCCACCGTGCTGCAGCTCAGTTTCAGGGTCTTGGCAATCTTCTTATAGCCCAGGCCATCTTTATGTAGAGCAACAATTCTTTTTTTCAGATCCTCAGAGAGTTCTTTGCCATGAGGTGCCATGTTGAACTTCCAGTGACCAGTATGAGGAAGTGTGAGAGCGATGACACCAAATTTAACACACCTGCTCCCCATTCACAACTGAGACCTTGTAACACTAATGAGTCACATGACACCGGGGAGGGAAAATGGCTAATTGGGCCCAATTTGGACATTTTCACTTAGGGGTGTACTCACTTTTGTTGCCAGCGGTTTAGACATTAATGGCTGTGTGTTTAATTATTTTGAGGGGACAGCACATTTACACTGTTAAACAAGCTGTACACTCACTACTTTACATTGTAGCAAAGTGTCATTTCTTCAGTGTTGTCACATGAAAAGATATACACAAATATTTACAAAAATGTGAGGGGTGTACTGGGGTTGAGGGGTTTAGATACTGTATATATATATATATAATCACTCATGAAATATGTGTATGAATAGCAAACAAGGCACTCAAAAACCACAGCCACAGCATGTCAAAGTCAACATAAAATACATGTTGGCTATACATTGTGGGTCTATATATACAGTACCAGTCAAAAGTTTGGACACACCTACTCATTCAAGGGTTTTTATTTATTTAAAAAAATGTTTACATTGTAGAATAATAGTGAAGACAGCAAAAATATGAAAAAACACATATGGAATCATGTAGTAACCAAAAAAGTGTTAAACAAATCAAAATATATTTTATATTTGAGATTCTTCAAATAGCCACCCTTTGCCTTGATGACAGCTTTGCACACTCTTGCCATTCTCTCAACCAGCTTCACCTGGAATGCTTTTCCAACAGCCTTGAAGGAGTTCCCACATATGCTGAGCACTTGTTGGCTGCTTTTCCTTCAATCTGTGGTCCGACTCATCCCAAACCATCTCAATTTGGTTCAGGTCAGGGGATTGTGGAGGCCAGGTCATCTGATGCAGCACTCCATCACTCTCCTTCTTGGTAAAATAGCCCTTACACAGCCTGGAGGTGTGTTGGGTCATTGTCCTGTTGAAAATCAAATGATAGTCCCACTAAGCCCAAACCAGATGGGATGGCGTATCGCTGCAGAATGCTGTGGTAGCTATGCTGGTTAATTGTGCCTTGAATTCTAAATAAATCACAGACAGTGTCACCAGCAAAGCACCCCCACACCGTAACACCTCCTACTCCATGCTTTACAGTGGGAACTACACATGCGCAGATCATTCTTTAACCCAAACCGCGTCTCACAAGACACGGTGGTTTGAACCAAAAATCTCAAATTTGGAGTCCAGACCAAAGGACACATTTCCACCCGTCTAATGTCCATTGCTTGTGTTTCTTGGCCCAAGCAGGTCTCTTCTTCTTATTGGTGTCCTTTAGTAGTGGTTTATTTGCAGCAATTCGACCATGAAGGCCTGATTCACACAGAGATGTGTCTGTTACTTGAACTCTGTGAAGCATTTATTTGGGCTGCAATTTCTGAGGCTGGTAACTCTAATGAACTTATCCTCTGCAGCAGAGGTAACTCTGGGTCTTCACACTGTGTGCCCTCAGGCCCCTACTCCACCACTACCACATATCTACAGTACAAAATCCATGTGTATGCGTGTGTATAGTAAGTATGTTATCGTGTGTGTGTATGCATGTGTCTGTGTCTATGTTTGTGTTGCTTCACAGTCCCCGCGGTTCCAGAAGGTGTATGAATGAGGGAGCTACATAGCATTTAGTATGAAGTCACCCAGGAGTCTTCACAAGAAATCTCCCATCACCTGCACTACTTTTTCTGTTACCCTCTGCTTTACAGCAGAACAATCTTGTGTAGAGGACTGAGGGTGTTTTAAATACTGTAATTGTAAACATTGTGTAAATATTATTTGAATTACTTATTTTTTCACTTTGTGTGTGGTTTGTGGTGTGTTCACTTATGACATTAGATCAGCGTTGGCTGTTAACTTGGCCCTTATCTTAAATAGTTAACGTCTGTGTTGTGAGGCATTGGATCAGCATTCTCATCGCATCTCCTGTTAGTACCTTTTATGTACATACATGATGGACCATAATGATCCATCATGTACAGTGGGGGAAAAAAGTATTTAGTCAGCCACCAATTGTGCAAGTTTTACCACTTAAAAAGATGATAGGTACACGTCAACTATGACAGACAAAATGAGAAAAAAAATCCAGAAAATCACATTGTAGGATTTTTAATGAATTTGTTTGCAAATTATGGTGGAAAAAAAGGATTTGGTCAATAACAAAAGTTTCTCAATACTTTGTTATATACCCTTTGTTGGCAATGACACAGGTCAAACGTTTTCTGTAAGTCTTCACAAGGTTTTCACACACTGTTGCTGGTATTTTCGCCCATTCCTCCATGCAGATCTCCTCTAGAGGAGTGATGTTTTGGGGCTGTCGCTGGGCAACACGGACTTTCAACTCCCTCAAAAGATTTTCTATGGGGTTGAGATCTGGAGACTGGCTAGGCCACTCCAGGACCTTGAAATGCTTCTTACGAAGCCACTCCTTCGTTGCCCGGGCGGTGTGTTTGGGATCATTGTCATGCTGAAAGACCCAGCCACGTTTCATCTTCAATGCCCTTGCTGATGGAAGGAGGTTTTCACTCAAAATCTCACGATACATGGCCCCATTCATTCTTTCCTTTACACGGATCAGTCGTCCTGGTCCCTTTGCAGAAAAACAGCCCCAAAGCATAATGTTTCCACCCCCATGCTTCACAGTAGGTATGGTGTTCTTTGGATGCAACTCAGCATTCTTTGTCCTCCAAACACGACGAGTTGAGTTTTTACCAAAAAGTTATATTTTGGTTTCATCTGACCATATGACATTCTCCCAATCCTCTTCTGGATCATCCAAATGCACTCTAGCAAACTTCAGACGGGCCTGGACATGTACTGGCTTAAGCAGGGGGACACGTCTGCCACTGCAGGATTTGAGTCCCTGGCGGCGTAGTGTGTTACTGATGGTAGGCTTTGTTACTTTGGTCCCAGCTCTCTGCAGGTCATTCACTAGGTCCCCCCGTGTGGTTCTGGGATTTTTGCTCACCGTTCTTGTGATCATTTTGACCCCACGGGGTGAGATCTTGCATGGAGCCCCAGATCGAGGGAGATTATCAGTGGTCTTGTATGTCTTCCATTTCCTAATAATTGCTCCCACAGTTGATTTCTTCAAACCAAGCTGCTTACCTATTGCAGATTCAGTCTTCCCAGCCTGGTGCAGGTCTACAATTTTGTTTCTGGTGTCCTTTGACAGCTCTTTGGTCTTGGCCATAGTGGAGTTTGGAGTGTGACTGTTTGAGGTTGTGGACAGGTGTCTTTTATACTGATAACAAGTTCAAACAGGTGCCATTAATACAGGTAACGAGTGGAGGACAGAGGAGCCTCTTAAAGAAGAAGTTACAGGTCTGTGAGAGCCAGAAATCTTGCTTGTTTGTAGGTGACCAAATACTTATTTTCCACCATAATTTGCAAATAAATTCATTAAAAATCCTACAATGTGATTTTCTGGATTTTCTTTTCTCAATTTGTCTGTCATAGTTGACGTGTACCTATCATGGAAATTACAGGCCTCTCTCATCTTTTTAAGTGGGAGAACTTGCACAATTGGTGGCTGACTAAATACTTTTTTTCCCCACTGTATGACATTCCTGGGAGTGTGTAAACTTGTATTGTTTATTACCATAGCATTTATGTATTTTCTCTATATTTATGTACTTGAAAATGTATCAATTTACCAATTCGGCCACTTGGAGGCCACTTGGGTATATTCGGGCAAACTCGTGAGGGACACCTGGGTGACTTCATACTAAATGTTATGTTGCTCCTTCATTCTTGAAGGTATCAGTCTGAAACTTTGCATATACACTGTTGCCCTCTTGTAGACAACATCTAAATTACCCACAGCTTCCTATCTGAGTGTATGGCTTTTATTTTTCATGTCAAAGACAATGCAACAAAAATAAAAATAGAAAACGTATGTTTTTTTGTTTGTTTTATCTTTTACCAGATCTATTGTGTTATGTTCTCCTACATTAATTTAACATCTCCACAAACGTCAAAGTGTTTCCTTTCAAATAGTATCAAGAATATGCATATCCTTGCATCAGGTCCTGAGCTACAGGCAGTTAGATTTGGGTGGGTCATTTTAGGCGGAAATTGAAAATAAGGGTCTGATCCTTAAGAGGTTAACATATTTTTTAATGACTACCTCATCTCTGTACCCCACACATATGGTTATCTGTAAGGTCCCTCAGTTGTGCAGAGAATTTCAAACACAGATTCAACCACAAAGACCAGGGAGGTTTTCCAATGCCTCACAAAGAAGGGCACCTTGGTAGATGGGTAAAAAAATTACTTTAAAACAGTTACAGAGTTTAATGGCTGTGATAGGAGAAAACTGAGGATGGATCAACAACATTGTATTTACGGAGTGCAAACAGAGTGAAAAGAAGGAAGCCTGTACAGAATAAAAATATTCCACAACGTTCTGTTTGCAACAAGGCACTAAAGTAAAACTGCAAAAAAGGTGGCAAAGCAATTAACCTTTTGTCATGAATACAGTGTTAAGTTTGGGGCAAATCTAATACAACACATTACTGAGTACCACTCTCCATATTTTCAAGCATAGTGGTGGCTATACTTATGTCAATTAGATATTTCTCAATAAATGTGCAACATTTTCAAAAAACAACTTTTCACTTTGTCAATATGGGGTATTGTGTGTAGATTGGTGAGAGAGAAAAATATATTGAATCCATTTTGAATTCAGCCTGTAAGACAACAAAATGTGGAATAAGTCAAGGGGTAGGAATACTTTCAGTGCTCCATATACAAAATCTTACATGAAACAAATTCTGTACATGGAAAATATCCTTATTGAAAGATTGTAAACATGTTAGTGCTAGTTAGATATTCAGTCCAAGGAAACCAACTCAGATAATTTTGTACCTGAGAGAACACTTTTACTCACGGGTGGCCAAAAATAACTAATTGAAAGCCATGCCGCCAATATAATTTCACAGTGTGCCTTGCCGTTTTCGAGTGAATTACCCCCCATGAATGTATTTGTTAGTGACATAGACGTGGTTCTTGAATTCGTACATTTTTTTGTCCTGTGGCCTTCACCAAGTGAGTTCCTAGGCTAATATTCTAATTATAATTAAACTCTTTATGATGATACATTACATATCTCATAAGGCCTTATTTTGAGGCCTAGCATTACCCTAATACATTGGCCTGAAACTCATGGTTTACATGCCTTGTCAGGTCCGCTAGTAGGGTTGCAAAATTCCAGTAACTTTCCCCAAATTCCCAGATTTTAATCTTCCAACTGGGATTTCTGGAAACTTGCAAGTCACATTATGCTGGCTTGCAAAGTGATGTGTAATTCCTGTTGGAATCCAGCCAGAGTTTGAATATCCAACAGTTGGAATTTTTATTCACCCGCAACCTGCCTTCATAATGACTGCCAGGGTTAGGAACAGTGTGCGGATGCTATCTAAGCCATTTAAACTGGAACAACCATTTCAGTAAGGGGTGCAAAAAATCTAACGAATGATTGGATCAGTTTAGAAACATTTATGTTATTTATCTTTGTGTAACATAATATGAATCAACCAATCACTCAATGTACATGCAAAAACACAGATATTAAAAACAATTCAAAAAGATCAACCTGAAGTAGAGCATGCTGGGTAAAATGTTCATTTATTATCATAACTTTATGTCCACTTCCTCAGCTCAGTGTGTAATGTGGCCAGTCTATAATTAAGGACATTCCAGTCCTAACCTTAGCCCATAGCTCTCCCAGTTTCACCCTAACATTTCAAAACCATTATAGGATATTTTCAGCTTCTTCACAAGGTCCACACCTTCATTTTAGTCATTTAGCAGACGCTCTTATCCAGAGCGACTTACAGTTAGTGAGTGCATACATTTTCATACTGGCCCCCCGTGGGAAACGAACCCACAACCCTGGCGTTGCAAGCGCCATGCTCTACCAACTGCATTGTTGCATAGGCCTGGAGTATGTGTCTGGGAATGTATGAGTGGGAGAATGCTTGGCTTGGCCTCTGTACGTGTTGTGTTTTGTTTCGGGGAGGAGAGTGTTAATGTACTGTATGTGAGTGCAGTGGCGATTTTAGCATGTCAATCTTGGTGGGGCAAACCAAAAAATAAATAGGTTTTATGCATGCAAGCAAAGCCACTACACAACACAACACTAAACAATACATTATTTGCACTATAACGGTGACAAACGGTGCCCTCAAACTGTTAGGGCCTACATAAAGCTGTCCCAACAGAAGAGTCCCAACAGAAGAGTCCCAACAGCAGTCCCAACACCTTACCACTGCTACACCTGGCTATCAGCGGAGCCTTGTCTGGCAGCGAAACAGTTTATTCAGCCTCATTTACTGCCTTAAAAAAAAGCATAGCTGATATGGCTGACTTGCTTAAACAAATGTGGTTTCCATTGACAATTGACATGTACAAACTATGGCATAAGGGGACGACAAGCAGATAAGAGGCAATCCGTAATTTCGATTAAGATATTAATGAGCGAGCTAGGATGGACGTAGTCAATATAACTATTTGTTCAGCACTTTTGAAATGTACAGTGACAGAATTCAGAACATGGGCCGTTCTTACAGTGTTCTCCCTGTACACCAAGTCAAAATCATAGGATAAATAAACAGGGCATATAAGCAGACAATGAAAGCTCTTACAATATTTGATTATTACATTTCTCTAAAACAGCCTATAGGCTACATGTGCACCACCAAGTCAGAACAGTAGTTGAAATTAAGAGGGGAAAAGGGACCAAATTATTAGGGTGAGGCACATGGGCTACTAACAGCTTACTACACAGCATACACTTAGTATGACTTTCTTAGCTACGGTATACATACAGTGGGGAGAACAAGTATTTGATACACTGCCGATTTTGCAGGTTTTCCTACTTACAAAGCATAATCTTTTATCATAGGTACACTTCAACTGTGAGAGACGGAATCTAAAACAAAAATCCAGAAAATCTTATTGTATAATTTTTAAGTAATTAATTTGCATTTTATTGCATGACATAAGTATTTGATCACCTACCAACCAGTAAGAATTCCGGCTCTCACAGACCTGTTAGTTTTTCTTTAAGAAGCCCTCCTGTTCTCCACTCATTACATGTATTAACTGCACCTGTTTGAACTCGTTACCAGTATAAAAGACACCTGTCCACACACTCAATCAAACAGACTCCAACCTCTCCACAATAGCCAAGACCAGAGAGCTGTGTAAGGACATCAGGGATACAGTTGTAGACCTGCACAAGGCTGGGATGGGCTACAGGACAATAGGCAAGCAGCTTGGTGAGAAGGCAACAACTGTTGGCGCAATTATTAGAAAATGGAAGAAGTTCAAGATGACGGTCAATCACCCTCGGTCTGGGGCTCCATGCAAGAACTCACCTCGTGGGGCATCAATGATCATGAGGAAGGTGAGGGATCAGCCCAGAACTACACGGCAGGATCTGGTCAATTGCCCTGAAGAGAGCTGGGACCACAGTCTCAAAGAAAACCATTAGTAACACACTACGCCGTCATGGATTAAAATCCTGCAGTGCATGCAAGGTCCCCCTGCTCAAGCCAGCGCATGTCCAGGCCCGTCTGAAGTTTGCCAATGACCATCTGGATGATCCAGAGGAGGAATGGGAGAAGGTCATGTGGTCTGATGAGACAAAAATAGAGCTTTTTGGTCTAATCTCCACTCGCCGTGTTTGGAGGTAGAAGAAGGATGAGTACAACCCCAAGAACACCATCCCAACAGTGAAGCATGGAGGTGGAAACATCATTCTTCTGGGATGCTTTTCTGCAAAGGGGACAGGATGACTGCACCGTATTGAGGGGAGGATGGATGGGGCCATGTATCGCGAGATCTTGGCCAACAACCTCCTTCCCTCAGTAAGAGCATTGAAGATGGGCCGTGGCTGGGTCTTCCAGCATGACAACGACCCGAAACACACAGCCAGGGCAACTAAGGAGTGGCTCCGTAAGAAGCATCTCAAGGTCCTGGCGTGGCCTAGCCAGTCTCCAGACCTGAACCCAATATAAAATCTTTGGAGGGAGCTGAAAGTCCGTATTGCCCAGCGACTGCACCGAAACCTGAAGGATCTGTAGAAGGTCTGTATGGAGGAGTGGGCCAAAATCCCTGCTGCAGTGTGTGCAAACCTGGTCAAGACCTACAGGAAACGTATGATCTCTGTAATTGCAAACAAAGGTTTCTGTACCAAATATTAAGTTCTGCTTTTCTGATGTATCAAATACTTATGTCATGCAATAAAATGCAAATTTATTACTTAAAAATCATACAATGTGATTTTCTGGATTTTTGTTTTAGATTCCGTCTCTCACAGTTGAAGTGTACCTATGATAAAAAATGACAGACCTCTACATGCTTTATAAGTAGGAAAACCTGCAAAATCGGCAGTGTATCAAATACTTGTTCTCCCCACTGTATCTCCCTGGCATATTACATCATTTATGCAGCCGTATAAAATACTTTTTTGGACTCACCTTGTTGTGCTCACTTGAACAGGAAGGTGGCACGGCGGTCCTTCTTGGGCAAATTTTGTCATCAAACTTTGTCATCAAAGTCTGGCATTCTCTGGATTTATGGTGCTTTCAAGACAACTGGGAACTTGGAAACAAACAAGGTCGAATCATGATGACGTCAGTGATCTTCAGGTCGGAGCTCTAGAAAGACTTGCGATTCCGAGTCAGAGCTAGTTTTTTTCAGAGTTCCCAGTTGTCTTGAACTCACTGAAGTCAGATTTCCCAGTTCTCAGTTTCCAGTTGTTTTGAGAGTGAAAGAAGTCATGCTGGATTGACAGCATGGCCAATGTTGAATGTCTATCCTTTTAAGCTTGGAAAAGAGACCCTTAAACCCAGACTTGGAACCACACACTCACTCCACTGAATAGCAGGCTAGTGATTGCTTTGATTTTGGGCAGCTCCATGGTAAGAAATGTGACCGTTCCTGGTGCAAAAACAATGTCCTATCCCGGAGCTCAAGTAAATGACATTACTAAGCTGCTCCCGAAATCCATTCTATCGTAGTCCATGTGGGTTTTAATGACATTATGAAGGGCAGCTCTGAACAGTTGAAACTGGATTTTAAAGAGCTGATTGACTCTGCTAGACACTAACAAAAAACCCATAATATCTGGCCCTATGCCATCTCTGAATCGTGACATTGAACGCTTTAGCAGGATACTTGCGCTTCACAACTGGCTACGTGATTATTGCAGCTCAATGGGTGTAACTGTTGTTGACAATTTCGATACCATTTGGAAACAAAACACGTTTTATAAGGAGGATGGGATCCACCCAAATCATTTGGGTTCCTGGATCCTTTCACAGCATTATAAGGCTGCGTTGAGACAATGACTTATCAATGACCCAAGCCCAGCTCAGCTAATCCCTACCATTGTGACGCAGACTTGTCATAATGCTTCAGCAAATGTACATTACACCAGGGGCGTCGGTAGACACAATATAAGTAACCTAATTTATGTCCCTATAACTGCCCTGATTGCCTCTGCTGATCCTACAGCTATAGCATGAAGTAATCATGTGCCTAAGAACCAGATTTATACTGTTAGCACTGAGCCGGTGTGCCTTAGGAAGAAGTCCACTGTGTGTAGCTCACCCCGCATTAACATAAAGAACATGAGCACATCTACTGCTGCTGAAACTCACTTAGATAATACCTTTGATGATACAGTGGTAGCAATACAAGGTTATAACATTTACAGAAAATATAGAAATGCCAATGGTGGAGGTTTTGCTGTTTATATTCAGAACCACATTCCTGTGAAGATTAGAGAGGATCTCATGTTAAAAACTGTTGAAGTAATATGGCTACAGGTTCATCTGCCTCACCTAAAGCCCATTCTGGTGGGAAGCTGCTATAGACCACCAAGTGCTAACAGTCAGTATCTGGATCACATGTGTGAAATGCTTGATAATGCATGTGATATCAATAGAGAGGTATACTTTCTGGGTGATTTAAATATTGACTGGCTTTCATCAGGCTGCCCACTCAAGAGAAAGCTTCAAACTGTAACCAGTGCCTGCAACCTGGTTCAGGTTATCAGTCAACCAACCAGGGTAGTTACAAAGAGTACAGGAATTAAATCATCAACATGTATTGATCATATCTTTACTAATGCTGCAGATATTTGTTTGAAAGCAGTATCTAAATCCATTGGATGTAGTTATCACAATATAGTAACAATATCTAGGAAAACCAAAGTTCCAAAGGCTGGGCCTAATATTGTGTATAAGAGGACATACAATAAGTTTTGTTGTGATTCCTATGTTGTTGATGTAAAGAATATATGTTGGCCTGTGTTGTGTAATGAGGAGCAAACAGACACTGCACTTGACACATTTATGAAATTGGTTATTCCAGTTACTAATAAGCATTCACCCGTTCAGAAAATGACTGTAAAAACTGTTAAATCCCCGTGGATTGTTGAGGAATTGAAAAATTGTATAGTTGAGAGGGATGAGGCGAAAGGAATGGCAAATAAGTCTGGCTGCACAACCGATTGGCAAACGTATTGCAAATTGAGAAATCATGTGACTAAACTGAATAAAAAGAAGAAGAAACTACACTATGAAACAAAGATAAATGACATAAAGAATGATAGTAAAAAGCTTTGGAGCACCTTAAATGAAATTTTGGGAGAAAAGCAAACTCAGCTCCATCATTCATTGAATCAGATGGCTCATTCATCACAAAACCAACTGATATTGCCAACTACTTTAATGATTTTTTCATTGGCAAGATTAGCAAGTTTAGGCATGACATGCCAGCAACAATTGCTGACACTACACATCCATGTATATCTGACCAAATTATGAAAGACAAGCGTTGTAATTTTGAATTCTGTAAAGTGAGTGTGGAAGAGGTGAACAAATGATTGCTGTTTATCAACAATGACAAGCCACCTGGGTCTGACAACTTGGATGGAAAATGTCTGAGGATAATAGCGGACGATATTGCCACTCCTATTTGCCATATTTTCAATTTAAGCCTACTAGAATGTGTGTGCCCCCAGGCTTGGAGGGAAGCAAAAGTCATTCCGCTACCTAAGAATAGTAAAGCCCCCTTTACTTGCTCAAATAGCCAACCAATTAGTCTGTTATCAACCCTTAGTAAACTATTGCAAAAAATGGTGTTTGACCAGATATAATGCTATTTTACAGTAAACAAATTGACAACAAACTTTCAGCATGCTTATAGAGAAAGACATTCAACAAGCACAGCACTTACACAAATGACTGATGATTGGCTGAGAGAAATTGATGATAATAAAGATTGTGGGGGCTGTTTTGTTAGACTTCTTTTGACATTATCGATCATAGTCTGGTGCTGGAAAAACGTATGTGTTATGGCTTTACTCCACCTGCTATATTGTGGATGAAGAGTTATCTGTCTAATAGAACACAGAGGGTGTTCTTTAATGGAAGCCTCTCCAACATAATCCAGGTAGAATCAGGAATTCCCCAGGGCAGCTTTCTAGGCCCATTATGTTTTTCAATCTTTACTAATGACATGCCACTGGCTTTGAGTAAAGCCAGAGTGTCTATGTATGCGGATGACTCAACACTATACATGTCAGCTACTACAGCGACTGAAATGACTGCAATACTTAACAAAGAGTTGCTGTTAGTTTCAGAGTGGGTGGCAAGGAATAAGTTAGTCCTAAATATACTAAAAGCATTGTATTTGGGACAAATCATTCACTAAACCCTAAACCTCAACTAAATCTTGTAATAAATAATGGGGAAATTGAGCAAGTTGAGGTGACTAAACTGCTTGTAGTAATCCTGGATTGTAAACTGTCATGGTCAAAACATATTGATACAACAGTAGCTAAGATGGGAAGAAGTATGTCCATAATAAAGTGCTGCTCTACCTTCTTAACAGCACTATCAACAAGGCAGGTCCTACAGGCCCTAGTTTTGTCACACCTGGACTACTGTTCAGTCGTGTGGTCAGGTGACACAAAAAAGGACTTAGGAAAATTGCAATTGGCTCAGATCAGGGCAGCACGGCTGGCACTTGGATGTACACAGACAGCTAATATTAATAATATGCATGTCAATCTCTCCTGGCTCAAAGTGTAGGAGAGATTGACTTCATCACTACTTGTATTTATGAGAGGTATTGACATGTTGAATGTTTTGAGCTGTCTGTTTGAAATACTGGCACACAGCTCGGACACCCATGCATAACCAACAAGATATGCCACGAGAGGTCTCTTCACTGTCCCGAAGTCCAGAACAGACTATGGGAGGCGCACAGTACTACATAGAGCCATGACTACATGGAACTCTATTCCACATCAAGTAACTGATGCAAGTAGTAAAATTAGATTTAAAAAACAGATATAAAACACCTTATGGAACAGCGGGGACTGTGAAGCAACACAAACATAGACACAGACATATGCATACACACACACGATAACATACTTACTATACACACGCATACACATGGATTTTGTACTGTAGATATGTGGTAGTGGTGGAGTAGGGGCCTGAGGGCACACACTGTGTTGTGAAATCTGTGAATGTATTGTAATGTTTTTAAAATTGTATGAACTGCCTTAATTTTGCTGGACCCCAGGAAGAATGGAAGAGTAGCTGCTGCCTTGGCAGCAGCTAATGGGGATCCATAATAAATACAACTACAATTGCTTGCAGTTAGCCACTAATTCCTTCCAAACCACTCATTGTTGAATTTGCGATTTCCAACTTGTTGTGTAATGTTTATGTCCAATGGCCGATGAGCACTGATACGTTTTATCTATAATTTCTCTTCATATGACAAGGATTAAAAAGCATTTGCCAGTAGATTGCCAACTTGATTCATGATGATGACTGCTAGATTGCTAGCTAAGATTTTTAAAGTATGATGTTGACATGATCAGTCCAATAAAAACTACTGTAGATATAATGTGATTTGACGTTATTTTATCTGTGGCCAATGACCTTGAGCCTTCTTGGATGGGCACCCTAATGTAACTCAATGGCTGCACCCAAGGGGCTTGAGCTCTACCCTTTGATTTGGTGGTGACGTAGTGTCCAGGGGGGGGGGGGCTGATATGTATATGTGTGTTACTGTATGTGACTGCTGGGCCTTGGTATTTGGTGTATTTCATAAGGAGGCAAAAGTGTGCGTGTGACTCATTGGCCTTGGTGCATGCTGTGGTGTTTATTTTGTGGTCAGGGAGAGATCACGCTATGGCAGAGTGGTGGAGTATAGGGGAAGGAGTAGGAGAGGGAGGAGAGGAGAAGGGTGTCTGAGGCTCTGGATATTTCTAACTGGTCAGGGACAGTACAGTGGAAACAGCCCTGGATTTGGAAGTCTCCAGGAAGGTGTGTGGCAGCCTGGCAGGATGGGGTGGAGGGTAGTTCAGGGTTATTTCCTTATCCTTGGATCAATGGGAGGTGCCTCCTTGAGCCCTGAAAATAAGAATGTTCCTACTCTACATGTACAGCATAGCACAAGCATTATTTGTCCATCAACAGTTTCTCAAAGGGTTTACAATGATTAAAAGCATTATTCATACAGTATGATATCAAAACCAGCTGTTGGCTCTACTGTACTACTGTGGGGTTTGTGGACTTTACTTTCTACCTCCTTCAGCATAAAGGAGCTGTAAAAGTAAAGTCAAATGTCAAGATACTTTCATGTAAACTGTCTGACTGACAGGTTGCTCTTGTTGCAGTGTGTGGACATTGTCAGTTTTACCTCTGAAATGTTTTTTTGTTTTTGTTTTATTCCGCCACTGACTGTAGGAGGTATCTAAAGATGTACTGTCGGGGACACAGTGTAGTAGGTAGACAGAGAGACCGACAGGAGGACAGATAACTAGGAAGTGGTGGTTGCCGTGTTGGAGTGCTCCGTGTTCTGTTCTTCTCCTTAGATCAGACATGCTCATATCATGTGATTTCCCTCCTCCTCCTTCTTCACCCAAAAGCAGGGATGTGTGTTAGGTTAGACGTGATTTGTAAACAGTAGTTCACAGGCATTTGAAGACTAGGTTAAAACGTGTGTTGGGTGTAGAAGTGAAGTAGTACAGTGTGTTGGAGTGGATTTAGCATGTCAATGCAGCATGGCATGGGTTGATGTCGGAAATACCACCTTTAGATCCTGACTTTAACTCCAGGAGGACCTTGTGTAATTTTAAATAAGAATATTGGATTTGAATAATTGGTTTACACCAACAATGCTTGAAGAGCATGTGCCATACACCAGGAGTTAACACAGCTAGGACTATGGCACTGACTGAATAGCTTCCTGTTTACGCTTTAACTCTTTCTTTCTCTCTCCCTGTCTTTCTATCTCTCCTTCCAGTGGTGGACCCACATGGCAAGACCTCGTCCCCCATCCCGGAGCCCCCCGGCCCAGCCGACCAGCCGGCCGCTCCCCCCCTGCGTCGGAGGAAGGAGCGCCCCCATGTGCTGAACTTAAGCGATGCAGAGATGGCCGGGGTGCTGCGGCCCAGGCCGGGCCGACTGGACAGCCCTAGCAACCGTTACGCCGGGGACTGGAGCCGCTGCGGAGAGAGCTACTTCCCGCCTCCTCTGTCCAGGGAGGAGAATGACTATGATGATGTTCCTTCTGAGGATATGGAGGTCACTGAAGAGGGACAGGAGGGGGTAGAGGACAGGGGACAGGAAGGAGGAGAGGAGCAAAGACAGGAATGGTTACTGGACAGGGGACAGGAGGAGGGACAGGCAGAGCCAGCCACAACCGAACAGGAGCCCCCGCTACTCGAGGAGGTGATGGAAGGACCTGTAGAAGTGGAGAAAGAGGAGAGAGAAGCGGAGGAGGAGAGCGATGCAGAGAAAAGAGTGGAGGAGAGCAATGGCTCCAGTGGCGGTCAGCCGTCAGACGACAGGGTGTTTGATGATGATAATGATGATGATGATGAGAGCATCCTGCCCCTCCACCTCCCCGAAGAGCACACGTACCAGGCCTACATAAAGATCCAGGACATCAGCCCCGTGCTCAGCAACAGGGTCAACCTGCGAGACCTGCAGGAGAGCATCGACACGCTTATAGGCAACCTGGAGAGAGAACTAAACAAGAACAAGCTCAACGTCGGCTACTGACTCAACACACACACAGCCCAACAGGCTGCTAACTCAAACACACAGCCCCCAATGGGGGGGAAAGGCTTAACTAATTCTAGGAGCTCAAGACTTGAGTTGTTGGGGTTCAGGGATTGGGCCCCATGGTTGCCGTGGTGAATCCATGACGACACAGTGACATGTGCACCAACAGTATTGTGCGTTCCTGCAGAACTCTGGTGTTTAGAACTCTGGTGTGTGATTGGCTGGACACTTCATTTTGCACCTACCCACAATACATTCTGTGATGTTTCCTTAATGTTTTGTTTTTGTTGACTTGTTTCTGTTGTTCTTGTCCGGTTGTGTGTTTGTTGTTGTTGTCGTTGTTGTTGTTGTTGTTGTTGTTGTTGTTGTTATTGCTTCTCTTCTTATTAGAATAACCCATTGACCCCCAGGGATGTAAACAGTGCCTTAATTGTGTGAAGGTGGGACTTTAAGGCAGGGGACAGCTTTTCTATTGAGGTACGAAACATTATGATGTACAACAATGCACTTATGAGGCAGGCTTTATTGTATAGTAGCTGACGTTTAGGTACAGTATATGGTACATGCAGTATGGCTGGCTATGGACTGGGAGGAGAACAAGGGAGGAGAGCCACCAGCTAGCGGTTAGCCCACTGAACACTCCTCCTGGGGCATGAGGGCAACGCTGCTGGGCCCTGTCGGATGGGCAGATGGAGCCTGGGATAGACCTACAGACCCTATCATATACACAGTCACAGACATACCTGCTCGAATACGATGGAGATACACATATAAATGAGAACATATGGGTGATAAGTGTTTCTCTCTACTTGCTAGAACACGCAGAGTAGCTAATCTAAAGCAAAACAAATATAGAAAAATGGTTTAATGTATTTGAAAAAGTAATCAGTGAATATGATGACGTTGATGAAAACCATTGCTGTCTGGTTTTCTTTCACCACCTCCTGCCCAACCTCCCACATGATCTAGACAGCGGGTTTAAAGAGGCAAAAGCCCAATATGGGAGACTTATGTATGGTACATACTGCCTGAGAACAGCAGTTCCCATGTTTCATAGAAACAGTTACTGTGTGGAAAGGGCTACAGCGAGGGCTATGAGAGTCTGCTACCTAAATACATATAAGCAAGTTTTCAGCAATCCAGGGATTCAGAATGATCAGTATTTAACATATATATGTATATATAAATGTATTTGGAGTATATAATTTTTTACAGTTTATATATATTTCCATACAGGCATATTTAAATGCTCTCCGTTACCTTGTAGTATGGATCTATAGATATTAACAGTCTCAGACTATATGTTGTGTTGCTTTGTTTCCTCCTCCTCAAGCTACCTGTACACATCTTAAACGTGCTGGACTAATGGTACAATTTAAGTTGTAAATTATATAAGCTAGAAATATGTTCTTGCAGGAAAAGAAATATTGTTATTTTTGTTATATATTTTTGTACATATTTGCCATCTGTTTTTGTCGCCGGTTGGTCTGAGCTGTGTACATATTTGTGTTTAAAAGGTAATGATGAACATTGTTGCATGGTCAAAAGCTTTATTACTGACATAAACAAGTATATTTCCCATCTCCTGAGGTTATCATATCATATTTATGTGTACATACAGAGATTATTTAAAATGTGTTCCTATCCCACTTTTTTGTCATCCCGTTGGCAGCTGCTCACACACACAGACTAACAACAAGGTTGTTCAAACTGACATTAAATTGAAATAATAAAACAAAGGAAAATCATTCAGCTAGCTAGCTAATCCCTGAGGCAATGGCGGTGCAGTGCAGTCGTTTCCGATGGTGATGGGAAAACTATCCAGTGTCGAGCTGTGGTTGTGTCCCAAATGGCACCATATTCCCTACATAGTGCACTACTTTTGGGTCCTGGTCAAAAGTAGTGCACTACATAGCGAATAGGGTGCCATTTTGGATGCACATGCCATTACATAAGTATGTTTTTCTGGTTGTGTTTCTGGTCTGGCACTCATTCCTTACCTCCAGGCATGGATGGCGTGTGGACTGGAGGTTCAGTTTGGAATGTTCAGCAGAGTGCCAGTCCAGTTTACCAGCTGTTTATCCCTCACATGGAAGACACACACACACACACACACACACACACACACACACACACACACACACACTCACTCACAGGCGACTAATCTAGTCAAGCATCATCTCTGTCTCTTTTCACTCTCTATGAGCTGCCTTTCCTCCGTCTCTCTATCAATGCATTCCTCCCTCTCTCTATCTTTCTCTTCCACCCTCTCTCAATCTTGTGTCAGATGTCCACATGCAAAATGCACACATACATAAATGTCTGCCTGTACTGTACTCTTCTTGTATGTTTTTTGTAATAGTTGTTTTGTTTCATCTTTGTCCTGTCTGTGTCTGTTTGTCTCTTGGAAATAGAGAGCTATTATGAATGCATCACTAAACAGAATATTACTTTGTACTGATCTTGAGAAATGTATGGTCATATTAAATTATATATTTCACGTGTCTTTGCGTCTTTCTGGTTATAACATTTTTTACAGTTGATTTCAATCATCTTCTGAGGCCAAATTATTGCCCTGTTGAGAGTAAAGTGAAACGGTGACGCATTCCATTTCGAGGTGCATATAATGTCTGTTATACATATTTTTGCTATTCACTTTTGACCATTATTCCACTGTCATAACACTAAAATAACAGTAAATATTGGGTCTTAGTTTCTACTGTGTTGCTTCTGGAATCCATTGTGATTTCCTGTTTTATTTTAATTAATGATTTAGATGTAGGGTTCTGCAGGTGTTTTGGTTAATCTATGTTCGCTATGAAACAGTTGAAGCAATAAAACACAGGATAGAAGTGAAGTGTTCCTGGCTTCTTCCACTGCAGATGGAGTTCCACTGCAGTCCCGGTGCACGACACTGCTTCGGGGACATTCCCAAAAGACAACCCGCATCATAGTAGCCCTGTTGAGTGGCCCACCCCAAGTAGTAACATTACAATTATAAACACCTTCAGCAGTGAGTGAACATAGAATTCCAGATGATACAGACAAATTTCAGCTGTAAATGGTTTTGTAACTTTTTTTGATGTGATGGGAGTTCGTGTGGCATTTTTGTTTTGAACTAGATTCAGTACAGTGAAGCTTCAGGGTACAGAGTATACCACACCGGTGACAGTAGTACTACTGTAGCTAGTGGGTATGTTTTTTATCACCCTGTGAAAAAATCTATAATTCTCCCAGCGCTTTTGATTCAGTCTAAATCTAGATTGGCATTTCAGCCCTTTTAGAGCAAGCCAAAGTTTTCATTGAGAATTTGAAGTTGCATATCATTTCAGGTTATACTGTATAATGTGCTAGTCTGAGAGTGTCAAGTAGGCAACAGTTTGTCTCCGTGCCCATTAAGAAAGTTTTAAAGCTGTTATTTCAAGATATAAATCTATTATGTAACCCAATGAATAAGCAGGGAAGTGTTATAAAGAATTGTAAAGATACACTGTCTACCAGCTCTCACAGTCTCACGTCAGAATTTGATGTTCATCCATATTTCTCAAACGTCAAATTTCAAAGTTGTTCCAAATTTCAAAGTGTTTAAGGTTAAGTTTAGGCATTAACTCCGAATTTATAAGGTTAGACATTAACTCAGAATGGTTAAGGTTGGGGATAGGCTTAAAACCAACATATCAAAAACTACTTTTATCGCTGGATTTGAACTTGCAACCTTTGGAATCGGTGGCAGATGCAAAACCGAAACCTACTTGAAGGTAACAGCTCTCATTGTTGCTCCTAGTGGCCAGTTTCCACGTCATCTCCCGACGTCCTCAGACATAGCTGGACGTTGAATGCTGACTTGTATCATGGGTGACCTGGCTGACACTGTCCTGTACAGAGAACTATTTATTGATATCTTCCAGTTTTATTTAGGTACAGTAGGCTACAGTTGGCAGTCCCATATTCAAGACTTCAAAATTATATTTTAAAAGTATTTCCTAAACTTCAATGTTTTATCGCTTCCCCTTTGAAGTAGTTTTCTCTGTCATCTTAATGAAAGAAGCAAATTGAAACTCCATATGAGGAGACAAAGACCAGTTAGACATAATAACTCTGGTTTGTTTTGTCAGTGAGGGCCGCAGCCGCCACTTGATATCAGCCCGTCTATTGGAGTGAACTCAACTGAACTTTTGATCATTTTCTGGAGAGAGAGAGAGAGAGCAATATAGGTCTCTTTGGGTAAACATGACAGCCACCTGCATGTGAAACTAGACCTACTCCACCCGTCTCCCTTCCCTGTCCCTCAACCTCCCTCTAAACCCTCCTTAGATGAGCATCAGTGGCTACGTTTAGACAGGCAGCCCAATTCTGATATTTTTTCCACTGATTTGTCTTTTTTACATCAACTCTTTCCACAGCAGATCTTTTTCAGAACTGATCTGATTGATCAACAGACCAATTACTGAAAAAAAGATCAGAATTGTGCTGCCTGTGTAAACTCAGCCTCTGTGTGTGTTGCTTTAGCAACCTTCTCTACCAAGGAGGAGAGGAGAAAAAAACACACTTTCACTTACAGGGTCAGTGATCAGTTAAGTATAGTCTCAGAAGTCTAGAATAGGATTATTATACACTGCTCAAAAAAATAAAGGGAACACTAAAATAACACATCCTAGATCTGAATGAATGAAATAATCTTATTAAATACTTTTTTCTTTACATAGTTGAATGTGCTGACAACAAAATCACACAAAATTATCAATGGAAATCAAATTTATCAACCCATGGAGGTCTGGATTTGGAGTCACCCTCAAAATTAAAGTGGAAAACCACACTACAGGCTGATCCAACTTTTGATGTAATGTCCTTAAAACAAGTCAAAATGAGGCTCAGTAGTGTGTGTGGCCTCCACGTGCCTGTATGACCTCCCTACAACGCCTGGGCATGCTCCTGATGAGGTGGCGGATGGTCTCCTGAGGGATCTCCCAGACCTGGACTAAAGCATCCGCCAACTC